ATCCATCCATCCATCCATCCATCCATCCATCCATCCATCCATCCATCCATCCATCCATCCATCCATCCATCCATCCATCCATCTGTTTTTTGTCATGCATAACCAGCCCTTTAACTACGACACAAACGCAGACATTTCTGAGACTAAATCAGCCCAGACACCGTACAGGACGCTAGTTTGTAGCTCTTTGAGACGGTCTGTTGGTTTGCACCACAGCCAGTCTTTCAGGAACACTTACGGGTGAACTGTTTGTTTTCCGGTGTTGTATCAGGGGTTGTAGACGGCAAACAAGCTCATCAAATCAACACACGGACACCCACGATCCTAGCTAGTTCATGATTGTCCCTCTTGCGTTGTGGCGTGGAATAACATAGAGTAGACCACGCTCATCAAAAATATATGTGTCATACCTGCAACAAGCTCACACCTAAGGACAATTTAGAGAACCCAGTTAACATATCAGTCATGTTTTTGGACTGTGGGAGGAAGCCTGAGTACCTGGAGAGAACCCATGCATACACAGGGAGAATATGCAAACTCCAGGCAGAAAGACCCTGGGCCGGGAATCGAACTCGGTGTGCTGCAAGGCAGCAGTGCTACCCACTGCTCGACTGTGCAACACAATGTAAGATCCTTCAGGTTATCTGCTGTTTTTAGTTGTTCCAGTCACTCATCATGGAATGGTCATCAAATCAGGATTGCAATAACCATTAAATATATTTTAAATACTAATCTTTTCAATTTTGCTTTACTTGAGTAATGGTAACGGGCTAGTCTTATTTTTTTGGGCATTATCGTTTGAACTCCTTGTATACTGTTACTTTTCTGTAGATTTTATGTTTTACAGCATAGTTTAGATTTTATTTTATTATTTTTTGTTTTTTACACCTGTACAACAATATTGGTGACTTAGTTGTGTAAGGCATTCTACAAATTATGTCTGAATGTGAAACCGTGCAGAAGGTCTGAATCCTATCATATCTGGTGCAACACTAAGAAAGCGTTTCATAACAATGAACATCATACTGACTGTTAGAAAAGTGGATGGTCAAGGGCTGCATTGCTATCATGCCCCCCTTGATGAACCAATAACTTCTGCTCCCTGATGGAAAAACCCTAAAGGAGAGTCTGAAAGTTAGGTCTTGAACTTAAGCTCATGTGGCTCTTAGTTCTGCAGGTGGAAAACAATCCAAAGGGCACCAACAAGTTTTCATCGCAAAACAATACTTAAAGCTCTGCAGGCCTCACTTACCTCAGTTGATCTCAGTCTTTATGGCTCCACAATAATAGAGAGACAGGGCAAAAAAAAAAAAAACACTTATATGGGAGAGTTACATGGTCAAACCCATTCTCAACCAAAAAAGTAATATATACCAAAAGCACATGATGATAAAGGTTTTCGAAAATATTTTAAGAAAAACTAACATATTGCTGAACAAAAATAACAGCATGGAGCTAAACATGTCTGTGTCAGTGTGATGTACTTTAACTGCTCTGCTGCTTCAGGTGCGTTGAAAATTACAAAAATTCAACATTAATATTTGTCGATAATATTTGGGCAGCTATTTTTTTTTTTACTTAGCTTATCTTTGTCTAACATTGATATAAGTTATATCATGGGAGCCTGAGGTACCTTGGAGAGTTCCTGCCCTGCACTTTTTACATACATCCATTTTTCAACACATCTGAATAAAATTATTGATTTGTTATCAGACCTCTGCAGAGCTCAGAGATTTCAGCCGTTAGATTCAGGAGTGCTGAGGAAGAGCTGCATCTACAAGTTGTAGGATGGTAGTCCTTAAGAACTGGACTTGGTTAGATGCTCTGAAACATTTAAAAGTGACAAAATAAAACAAAAACGGTTTATAAAAATTATACATATCTTTTATTAAGCTGATTAAAAATAGATTCAAGCATAACAGATCAGAAAACATCAAACCTTCCATGAATTTGTTCCTGGATTTAATGTATTTTTTTTTTTGTTGAAATTTTTTTTATATATTTCAGATAAAACAAACGTTTTTTGCAGTTAAAAAGAACAAGTAAAAAAAAACTGGTTTTAAATTATTGTAATAATAATAATAAGAAAAACAACAACTATCCAAAGCAAACTGGCCTTGTGTTAAGAAGTAATTCCCAATGACTTAAGCTAGTAACCGATTGACCAAATGTTTGTGGCAACTGCATCAATGTTTATTTGCAAAAAGCAGTTATGTGGAACAGCCTGTGTAAGGCAACAATTAGACTCGGCCTCTTCGTGACTTTCATTTTAGTTTTTCAGGTATTAAAAGGACTTACTACATCATGTTTCATATGAATATAAAGGCCTTGCAGCACAGGGTAATAGGATAGTTCAGACTAATGTTAATCAACACCTTTTAATTCCAATTGGATACTGTTCTATTGGCAAAAAATTCCCTTTCTCCCTTTAATAAAATACATTGTAACATTTGCATATAAACAAACAGAAAACGAGTAAAGCTGCAGGCATGAAATAGTATGTGCCTGAAAGTTAGAGCTGCCTCTGGTTTTCAATTGAGGCAGAAAAGAGAATCATTCGTAATGATGCATTTTTTTTCTGGAGCTGGTCGTCTAGTGATTTGTATTGAAATGCTTTTTTTTTAACTCATGGGATCTATTGAATAAAATGGGCCTGACTCCTTTTCTGAGTGGCAGGCTTGCATTCTAATTACTGCACAGCAAATAACGTCAACATTTAGCTACAAAATGTCTGCAAGGAAAAGAGACTAATGAAATGTCCGTCCTAATCAGTCTAAAGGAGTCACTCTTAGTTGAGGATGCCGCTCAGCATTTCTTCTTATTAAGGTCATGCAGCTTTTCATTTGTAATTCTTTTTTTTTTGTTTGCTCAGGGGGAGGAAGGAGACCAGGGAGGACCAGGAGATGTTGGGTCCCAGGGTCCGACAGTAAGATACTCTCTCTATAACTGCACATGTTATTAGGTGGTATTAACGTCTGAAATAAGATTCAATCTTATCTTTGAGTCAGTTATTTTCTTCCCTCACTGTTTGAGTTGATTATTATTTCAGGGACCCCAGGGAGTACGTGGAGCCATGGGAATGATGGGCCCCAAGGGAGAGATGGTGAATTTTTTCAATAGCATTTCGCCTAGTTGTGTTGGAAGTCTTTCTGAATTACTTCCAGTTTGAAAACCTCCTTTAAAAAAACTAACAAATTGTTTTCTGGCAGGGATCTCGAGGTCCAGATGGAGAGCCAGGTCCACAGGGAGTAGCAGGGGGAGCAGTAAGCTTTTCAATCAGGACATATTCATAAATGACTCTATGCGATCAGGTGTATATTATAGGTGTTGCCTTCTTATTTCAGGGGGACAGAGGTCAGAGAGGAGTAATGGGTGAGCCTGGGACAAAAGGTGAAATAGTAAGTGAATAAACATTATCACAGGCATAAAAAAACAAAGCAAAAAACAACTACATGATATTTATAAAACTTTTGTTTTATTAGGGGGGTCAAGGACCACGAGGGATAACAGGACTCCCAGGTCCCAAAGGAGAAGCTGTAAGACTCTGATCAATGCCAAATAATCAATCAGTCTTAGGCGTGTTTTTTCAAAATAAAATTTTTTTATGTCTTCTCTTTCCCATCAGGGATTACCTGGTGTTGACGGACGTGAGGGTATTCCTGGGTTGCCGGGTGCAAAGGTGAAGAGTGATATCTTCTGTTTCATACTGATCGTTAATAATGCTTCAGTTACAAACATTAAGTCATTCATTCAAGTTTGGTTTTTTTGCATACAGGAGCTAAGGTAGCTTACCCTTTTTATCCCTGTCTGTTCCTCTGCAGGGAAACATTGGCAAGCCAGGCGTTCCTGGAGAGGTTGGACTTCAGGGGCTTCCTGTGAGTATGACCTTTGGCCTCAAACTGTTGTGGCTGACTGTAATTGAACTGAAACTTAGTGAGGCTTTTTGGTGACCTTAAAAAAAATCAAAGCTGGTGGAACCTGCTTGGTGGATCGCAGTTTGACTCCTGCCTTCACTGGAAAAACGATCTAGACAGTACAAATTTCTTAAATTAAGTGTATTTACTCTTAATTTGAGACAGTTTGCCAATGGAATCATTATTTTTACTCTTAAAACAATATAATTAGATAACATGCACTTGAAATAAGACAATGCAGTTGTGTTTTCCTTTTTTAAGTGTAAATTGTCTTGTACGATTGACAAAATGTCTCAATCCAAGAACAAATGTTTTTATTTTAATTAAAAATGACTTATCCAGATATAGATTTTTCCCAATGTTGGTGTGACATAGAGTCTTTAAATAAATGTTTTTCTCTCTAATGTTTTTGAACGGTATAGATTTCTAAACTGATTCTCTAAGATAGGGATTAGATGACAAAGAAAAATATTAATAATCTTTTGCTAAGCCTAATTAACTGACATAATGGCAATCAGTTAGCAAAATAACTGACAGAAGGAGCCTTATGTGAAATATTATATCACTGTTCTTTGAAAAAGTACTACATTTCTATTTTGGCAAAAAGTTATGATATTTTACAGGGACTTGATGTGATATACAGTGGCATGCATTTGATTTATGAGCCTTTTCCCCAAAAACCCATTAAAAGAAATCAAGTGCGACCATCTGACAAAGCATTGTTGACGCAAATATTTTGGAGTACCACAGCTCTCATTATAATTCAAAACTCTGCACTTTGAACATCATAAAACAAACTAATAAATCCATCATCCAAAATGACAAAGTATGCACAACCCTTAAAATATTGATTTAGGACAACATTAATGAAAAAGAGGTAAATAGGGCTTTTGGTAATTCAAGAGGAGCTGCAGACAACTACAGTTTGGATCCAAAAACAGTTTTAGATGAAAACTATAAGCCATGTTAAGTTGAAGTGAAACATCAAAGAAAGGGCTCTGGTGAGATTGGACAGAAACTGAACTACTGGATCCAGTTACAAATGCCAAGCATGGCAGAAAGCTAATGCCACTCAGAATCCAGCATGCATGATTTTCCACTTTGAAACAAAGTGGTATCTTGCCTTTTTTCGGCAGAGACAGGGAACTTCTTCCCAGTTGCAGAGATGGAGATGATATGATGGATGGAGCTAAATTATATCACGTCTTGAAGGAAATCTGTTAGAGGCTAGATGTTTGCCTCTAATGACCTTATTTATGCACTTTGAGCTGTAATAGAATTGTGTACTGAGGGTGCTGAACATGAAAGCATTCTACACCTTTCAGACTGCATGTTCTTATGACATTTCATAAAAACCTTCTCATTTGTTGGGGGAAAATAAACCAGGAAATTCTTTATCTTCTCAGGGTTTACCTGGAACACCGGGACCAAAAGGCTTGAGTGGCCCCAAGGTTAAATGCTGGATTAATTAATAGCAATTATTCCTTTTTGTTTGTTTAATTATCAATTTCAAAACCAAAATGAAAAAAACAAAACAATTATATCTAATCTAATCAGGGTGATGCCGGGAAACCTGGTTTTCCTGGGACCTTGGGATCGGCTGGAAAACAAGTAAGTGTGAACAGAAGCACTCTGATACATCAGCATGGTTGGATGTTTTCTGTTCTGTCATTGATATCTTTACTCACACGACAGGGTGAAAGGGGAGAACAAGGAGAGGTGGGACCTGTGGGACCCATCGGTGAGCCTGTAAGTTATTCTTTCATATTCACTTTGGCGCATGAAGTCAAGTTGTTCATTAAATCAGCTAAGCTTCTTTAGATAGAAAACCTGTTAGCTAATTGGCACCTTATCATAAATTCATGTTTCAGATCAAAGACCTTTTTACTTTCAGAGAGAAATATGCTGAATGAAAGTAAAACGCAGTTTCATAAGATTACTTAACTCATTAAGGGGAATTTTCATTATTTTTATTATGAAGGACCTGATGTGAAGAAGGCCTTTTAAAAAATTATTTCAGTTAGGGGACAGGTTTTAGTAAGAAAAATAATAATGATGGTTTATAGGTGTTATTAAAAGTTATTCAACAAATCAGATATTTTACTGATGCTGTAAAATAAAAATAGCTGACCTTTTATAGACCAAGTCAATGTTTGAATGTGATTCGACAGTGGTAATGTTGTGAAGTTGCTCTTATTTATGTGAAAAAGTAAAGTGTTTGTGCATCAAATTTGTGTCCAGGTGTAACTTAGGACAGCAAATCAGTAGGAAATATAACAACACAGTTATATCAGGTAATGTCCAATTATAAACTATTGTTTTGTTTATCCTTAATAAACTAACTGATACAATACTATATCAAACACATGCAATCGATAATGAGGTTAACCCATAACACTTGGCACGATATGAAAAACAGCAGACCTGAACAGCTGTACAAGGTATACCAAGAAGAAAAAAATGGAATGAAAAAACAAACAAACAACAACCCTGAAAATACAGAAAACACACATTAAAGTTAATCTGTTATTTTTAGATCAACGTTGGTCATCCACAGAGTCATTAAGGCAAGACCATAGGGCCTAACCTAACATAGAACCATACCAGCTTAGAAGTTGCCTGGTCAAAAAAGGTCTGCGTCAAATTTCCAGAGACCCGGGCTGTATTACCTTAGCAGATGGGGCTACATGAAAGCAATGTGGAAGGTATAGATCAGTGGTCCCCAAACTACGGCCCGTGGGCCAGATCCGGCCCACCTCCACACTTGGTCCGGCCCCCTGAACAATACCAGACAGTGTTTTCATATAGGTGTTTTTTTTGTTTGTTTTTGATATTAAAGTTGGACATTTGCAATAAAATGTTCCTTAATTATGAAGTTTTTTTTATTATTAACTATTAGTAACTATTTCATACACATAACGCGACAAGTTCCACCCTTTTGGGGTCTGTGCCCCTATCTGGCAACCCCCAGCATAAAATCTTAAACCCGCCCTTCTCAAAGAGATACAGAAGAGAATTAGGGCCATTCAAAAAAATAAAAATAATAGTCTATTCAATTTTGACTTTTTTTCTCAGAATTCTGAAGAAAAAGTCAGAATTTTGACTTTAATTAAGAAAGAAAAGTCAGAATTGAATAGTTTTTTTTCTTTTGAATGGCCCTAATTCTCTTCCGTAAAGAGCGAATGGAACAATGGCGAAAAGAAAAGGTAAGAGAAAGATTGATTCAGAATGCAGGGCATTAAACCTGAATTGGACAAATGCTAATTTTTTTGTTCAATATAAAGTCTGTCTCGTCTGTCAAGAGGCGGTGGCGGTATTCAAACAATATAACCTGCGGAGACATTATGACTCCCGTCATAAAGACATAAATCCCGTCATAAATTTAGGCACTCTTGCAATCGTCACAATTTTTCTGTTACAAACTGACCCCGGCCCCCCATCAGAGAGGGGAAAAGTTATGCGGCCCTCACAGGAAAAAGTTTGGGGACCCCTGGTATAGATGCTTCAATGCCCATAGTCTGAACTAAACATCCAGCTCAGTGTGCCCATGTCCACTAAGGGCAGACAAACTGTCATGGTTTTGGTTGTATTGTGCTTTACTTTGCTCTATGTTCCCTAGTTTTATTGGTTTAATTC